TGTTCATAGAGTTGGTTGCAAACCCCATTCCATACGCCATTGCAGATTCCACACCTAGGAACCTGGCAACTAGCCTTTCCAGTTCCTCATGTTTTTCCAAGTTTCCTGCAGATAAAACAAATGACAAATTCAGAGTGAGGAGAAGCTTTCACTACTGCTATATTCTATGAGAAGAATTCCGTCCACCCAAGTTGCTCTTTAAATAAAGACCCCTAAGGGAACACTGAAAAAAGTAATATATGAAAACAAAAGTGAGCCAACTTTTGCGCCATGTTGCCTAAACCCAGCAAGTCAATTTGTCTTCATTAAAGTAAAAGCTTCTTTATTGATCAGTCTGAAGTTCAAGAGCTGGAACAAGTAAAGTTTCAAAAGACCTGCGATCAGATCACAGACTTGGAAACATACTTTTGGGGAACATCCTATCTGGCGCCAACTTACCCATCTCTTGCCTAGTACTGCACACCCCAACTCCATACTGGGACAGAATTTTAGCTGCTGCTTCTTTGCAAGGCCCAACATTCTGTGCAAATCCAAGGTAGTTGTAGGAACCCATATTAATAACGTCCTTTATCACTTTCCCTGTGTACCTGTGTATTAAACACACTACAAATTAGGACACCCACAATTAAAAAAAAATTACACCAGAAGAGTCTTACTTCAGTTTCCTAGAATATACCATGAAATGTTAATTTAAAAAAAAAAAAAAATCAGTAGAACCAACGACTGAATTATTTCAGTACTGTCCCCCATCATCAAAACTGAAACAATCAGTGAAAAAGATGCTTTCTCTATCTTATGGTTTCAAACTACTTCCCAGAAGAATTCACATTAAAAGGTGAATTTGCTATCATATCTAAAATCGCTTGAGGCTTCTCCAACTATTAGTTGTTTCTTTGACATGTCCCCCCTCCATCCTAGAAACATACAACTTTCTTTTCAGTGACAAAGTAAGATCTCCAGATCAATTAACTTGGCAGCCCCTCAAGCAGGATATCCTCTAACTACAGAAAGGAAACACATCTGGCACTGCTGTGCTAACAATACGTGACAAGGAGATTAAGGAAGAAGTTTCCCAGAAAAGGTTTTCATTATTTTGAAAGCCAAGGAGGGACATGACTATTTCCATCAAGTACTGTGCTCCATACCCCTTCAACATTAAACTTGTGATGCATTGTTTTCACATTATAAAAATCCTTCTCCTTGTGTTTCTGATCTGGTTCTGCAAACTACTTCAGTTCCGCCTCACAACTGTGTTACATTCAGTTTCAGGACTGATTCTAAATCAACACAAAGTCACAAGCAGCAGGGCAATGCAGAGTATCTACTCCAGGTTCTGGTCACCATACACTGAAGTATTATTTTTATTATAGGCATATGGCCATGAAATCTTAACACAGTCAGGAGCTTTAGTAAGTAGCCAAAAGTTTACACACAAATAATCACCTTGGATGGACAGATGTGTTTCAAAAAAGCAAAATGCATTGATTCAAGCCTCTGGAAAGCTCAAAACAAACACGTTTCACTGCTCCTTTAACCTCATTGCCTGCAACTTGCTCTTATAGACCCTCTACTTAAAGACAGCCGTTGGAAGCCTTTTGTTCAATTTTGACTCACGTGAATGTCCAGTTATAGTCATGGGAAACTCTCTCCATCATGTCCATTTTGGCCCCTGGCACACTGCAGATGGGACGGTTCCAGCTGTCCCGAATACGCATGTAGAGGTTTCTGTTGTAGAAATTTTCGAAGTCTTGGTACAATGGGACAAAGTCCTGAAACATATCAAAAGCACTCAAAGCAAAAAGGAAAATATATTATTGTATTGAGCTCCTAATGACACAGTGAGGTCGTGTTCCCTGAACTCAAACAGGACTTGAAATACCTTGGCTCTCCTTCCAGAACTTGCTGGGCAGATGAGGACAGCATCTCTCTCATAACACACAATAATCCCCTCTGTAAAATGCCTGGGCATATCATCTTTGCAAGACACCTACATTCAACCTTTAGAGTTATGCAGAGCAAGGCACAGAGTGTTGCTTTTTGGCACTAAACGCCATGCAATGCTCCACTAAATACACAAAGAACTTAAAAATGAAGGTACTCTGCCATATTTTATTCTGTACATGTGTGCTGGGTTCAGCC